TCCCTTCCTACTATAGGTTAGTAGCTCCCCCTGAACCGTGGGCCTAACACCTCTTGTCTCATTTTCCTTTTCTTCTTCATTCTCCTGCTCCTCCTCAACCAATTCTTCCTCCCAAGGAATCGATACAGAAATTGATTTCTCCACATTGTTCACCGATCGCTCACCATTCTCCCCCTCTCGCCTCATACTTCTAGTATTGGGCGAGTTACCAACGGATCAAGTTACATTCTGAGTGTAATATGGCTCGAGTTCTCGAAAGTGCACATCCATGCTCACAAACAACCTTTTCTCCACCGGGCTCCAGCAAACATATCCCTTCTGAGTAGCAGAATATCCCACAAAGATGCACTTCACAGCTCTAGGGGCAAGCTTCCCGACGGATGGTCTGTTGTCCTTCACAAAGCACACACATCCAAACACTTTAAGTGGAAGAATCCCACCATTATCTCCCTTCAACGTCTCACACGAAAACTTCCAATCCAGTACTCTCGAGGGCATTCTGTTGATCAGCGCTGCTGCGGTCAATACTGCTTGCCCCCACAATGTTTCTGGGACATTCATAGAGATCATCATGCTTCTGGCAACCTCTAAAAGATGTCTGTTCTTCCTTTCCGCTACCACATTCTAAGCCGGTGTGTATGGACATGTTGTCTGGTGCTGTATTCCCTGAGCTGACAAATATTCTTCAAGCGCTCTGTTGGTATACTCTGTTCTATTATCCGACCTCAATACCTTCACCACTGCTCCGTATTGGGTCTGAACATTCCTATGAAAGTTTTGGAAGCACCCAAACACTTCACTCTTATTTTTCATCAGGTATAACCAAGTAACACGAGAGAAACAATCAATAAATATAACAAAATACTTGTATCCATTCATAGAACTTGTGGAACAAGGCCCCCAAACATCTGAATGTACCAAGTCAAATGCCTGAGAGCTTCTATGACCAGAACTAACATAAGAGCTTCTAGTAAGCTTTCCAAACTCACATGCATCACACACAAGTTTCTGTTTATTTGCTTTCTCAATTAAAGATGGATACAATCTACCTAAAACACTAAAGGAGTAGTATCCCAAACGCTGGTGATGAAGCATTAACTCACTCTCAGCACTCATTTTAGATCATACTCCTGCTTTCTCTATGACTGACACCAGCGCTGAATCCATCCCTTCACGATCCAGATACCACAGTCCACTATGCCATGTGCCAGTCCCAAGTCTCCACCATGTCCCCTTCTCCTGGAAAATCACCTTGGGAATATCAAAAGAAACAATGCATTTTAGTTGGAGAATGATAGCACTAATGGATAAAAGATTGACTGGAAAGGAGGGAGCATGCAAAATATTGGACAAAGTTACAGAACCTGTACAATCGACTGTACCCTTACCAACCACTGGCTGAAATGTACCATCAGCTGTTTGAATACTATCAGGCGATGCTAGGTGAGTATATGATGAGAACTCACTAGCATTACCTGTCACATGTCGAGACGCACCGGAGTCGACTATCCATTCTGATGATCTGTCGGGAGACAAAGAAGCAAGAGCATGTTTATCATCAGTACCTTTGGTCGGATGAGCATAGGTAGCAGTGCTGCCTCCGGCGAAGAATGAAGTGGATGCCTCCTCAGTTCCACTCCTCCTGTCTCCATCCCCCGCTACTTTCTGCTTCCTCCTGAGTATCTTCTGGAGCGCACGATCTTCCTCAGTAAAGAACACCTCAGCTTCTTCCTCTCCCTCTGCTAGCATCAGATTCGCCCGGTTGCCTGTTCCTCTTCCACCTTGTCGACCCCCAAGGCCACGACCACGACCTCCGAACTGTCCACGTCCACCCGAATCTCCTTCCTTAGGTGGTTTGGTGCAAGCATGCCTTAGATGGCCCACCTCACCGCAGTTGTAGCACTGCCGAGTCTCTCCCCTTGATCCAGTATTGCTAGAGGCTGCCAGTGCTGACTTCACCACAGGAAGTCCACCTGTCCCCGCCTGCAGCCTAATGTGAGTCTCCTCCTGGATCATGGCCGAGACAGCCTCCTCAAGCGTGGGAATCTTTGGCTGAGCTAGTAGCAATGCAATTCGCTGAGCAAACTCTGATGTCAATCCCTTGAGAAACACCATAGTCCTCTCCTGTAGAAAGGCCTCACGCTCTTTACATCCCGGGTCCTTGCAGCTCGCCCGAGGTGAGAAGTGATCATAATCTAGCCACAGGCACTCCAGCTCTGTGGCATACTCATGTACAGTCCGCTCTCTCTGGACTGTGGCGTCGATTTCTCCCTTAATCTGGAACACCCGCAGGTTATTCCCTACTCCATCATAGGTCCTCCTCAACTTCTCCCAGACATCCTTCACCTTCTCAATGTCATCCACTGTGATGGCGATCCTAGACCAATAAGTTGAGGAGCCATATATATACCAACATATGAGTGGACTTCCACTCATCTCTTCCCTCCGAGTTCTCCTCAGGTTCTGTCGCCTCTCCTGTCAAGTAACCCTCCAGGTTCCATCTCACCCGTCGTGACCAGCTCAGGTAAGTACCCGGTCCATCAAGCTTCAGATCTATGGTAGGAAGCTACAACTTCTTGGATGGTTTTGTCGCGCTCTCACCAACCGACAACTTCATCAGCTTCATCAAAGTTGACACCTCCGCGGGGTTCAACTTCTTGATAATATCCTCCATTGATCAAGCTTCAGACCCAACACCTGTTCACCTTCTCTTCCGACCCTTGTTGTGTGCAGTGAAAATTTCGGCAGCACCTCTGCTGCACAACAAGAGTAAGATCTCAAACAAATTCTCGTTTCTCAGAGGAAACAAGAATCAAAAACAGTGATATTTCTCATCGCCATGAGATATATACTCTTCCTGTCATCAGTTCGAGGAATGAGTCGAGGGAATCCATGCCAAACTCTAGGTTCGACACGGTGGCGGTGGCTAGAAAGAGACAGCACGGGGGAGGGTTCGAACTGCAG